TGCAGCATCTACTGCAGCAGCAGCAGCAGCTGCTGCTGCTGCTGCTGCTGCTGCAACACAGAGGGGAGAGTGTTTTTGTGTTTGTGTGTTGCGGTGTACAGACGAAGTAGTGAAAGCCCCAACAATGTTAAACAAGTAAACCCTAAACCCTAAACCCTAAACCCTAAACCCTAGCTGCAAACATTCCTCTCTGGGTAATGATGATATGCAGTTGTTTCTTTCATCATGTTTTTTACTCTCAGCCCTCGCTTGCATGCATGCATGCATGCATGCATGCATGCGTTTTGTGTTTGGGGCTTGTGGTGAGAGGGCTGCATGCATGCATGCATGCATGCGTTTTGTTTTTTTGGGGCTGGGAGCAAGCATCTATGCATGCATGCATGCATGCATAGATGCATGCATGCATGCATGCATGCATGCATGCATGCATACAGGCTTCTATGCATGCATGCATGCATGCATGTGTTTGGGGCTTTGTGCTGCAGCGTGTTGAACTCCACCCCCAGCCGGATGGCGGCGTGGACCCCAGAACAAAGGAGACAGGTTTTGTCTCTTCAGTCGGTGAGAGCAACACTCTGCTGTCTCCTTTTTTTTTATTCTGTCTCCTTTTTTTTTTTTATTCCGTCTCCTTTTTCCTTCTGTCTCCTTTTTTATTTTTATTTTTATTTTGTCTCCCTTTTTTATTCTGTCTCCCTTTTTATTTTTTATTCTGTCTCCTTTCTTATTTACTCTACTGTCTCCTTTTTTTATTTTTATTATGTCTCCTTTTTTATTTTTATTCTGTCTCTTTTCTTTTGTCTCCTTCTTCTGTCTCCTTTTGTCTCCTTCTCTCCTACAGAAAACACAGTTGCTGCTGCAGTTGCTGCAGCAGCAGCAGCTGCAGCAGCAGCAGCTGCTGCTGCTGCTAGGTAGAAAGCCCCAAACTAACAACATGTTGCATGCGCATGCATTGCGTTGCTGCAGGCCCTTCTCCGCCGGGGCTACCGCGTAGCCATGTAAAACATATATATATATATA